AGCTTGAGAGTGTGGGCAGTTGTTAGATTGAAATGTTAATAATCCAGTTGGCATACAACGCAACGCATCTTGGATGGAGTGTGTGGTTGAGGGTGGCCAAAGCACAAAAAGGCTACTTGACTGTAAAGGAATATTTGTATGGAAATTCGTATTGCCTGACTTATGACTTTGATCATTATGCAGTTAGGATTCTTTTTTATGTTTTGATTGGTCTTTTATTTCCTTTGATTTGTTTCGAAATTTTCCAATTGTTGCTTGTTGTTGTACTTGTTGTAGTTGTTGTAACGATTTTACTTTGAAAATTTTCCTTTTGGGCATATTTATATGAGCAATTTATGCGGTCGTTCATAAATTTGCCGTTTAAGGAAAAATACAATATTTGATTTGATGAAATATCCTTGATTGGATTGATGCGTATTGATGAACAAAACCCAAATTGCTACATACCATGTAAATTAGTATCTATAAGGATATCGTCAATAAATAATTTTTGTTTTTACTACCGTTTTTATGCTAAAAGGTCTTTGTACACTAAAATTGTTAATATGAATTGAAATGAATGGTGAAAGGACATACAGGATATGAAATTGTTTAAAGCATTTAACTATATTCATAAACATGAAATTATACAACCAAACAAAAAAAAAATATTTACATTTTTGTATAAATTGATTTCTGTATTTTTCTGTATTTTTATAAATGTATTGTATCTGGGCAAGGACTTATGATAGTTAAAAACATAATTATTATTGATTATTTAGTCATGAAAATTCATCAATAAGCAAATATTTGAAGTACAAAACTTCTGAAAACTTAATACTATACATTTTAGAGAATTATGATTTAATAAAGTCAGGCGTGCCTTAAGAAATCCACACTGGGAAAACCTCACAATCTACCATATATAGCTTTTATTGTAACAGACTTTTTAGTTCTACATCTACAAATCTTCCTTTCTGCGCTTTACTTTTTCTAAGCAAAAGGGAAGAATTATTGGAATGACCACCTTTCTTGCTCAATGATTCAAATGCTCTAACATTTATGTACTAGGTATTGGTTCCAGTGGAAAGACCTTTATGAAGATCAAAGTAAACCAAATCATTATTTTAATCTTATTTACTGGCCAGATTTTCAGTTACTAATGGAACTTAATAAACTTGTGTCTACTGTTTTGCAGAATGGTTGCAGTACCAGATCAGCAATTAGCTTTCCCCTAAAATTGAAAAATCCGCGTAAGATACCTTAATATATAAAAAATACAAAAAAAATTTATCCCTTCGAATTTAGATAATTTAACAAATCTTTCTTCATTTCCGAGGAACACTCCATAAAACTCCGGAAGCTGAAGTTTTGAGCGCAAGGACAAATATGCAGATCTATTTCTTCAGTAGACCACAGCCACAGACCACATAATTATTTTTTATTACTGTAAGTTACTACAATGAATATTAAAAGGGACGCGTAGTTTCCCTGAATGGGTACCTATACACTAGCGAGCTGAGAGAACTGCAGTAATTCTTGCAGTATAAAGGCGATCTTTTTAATGTTTTCCGAGATCTGGTTTTGTTATAAGAGTTGTATTACATGCATTATTATAGACAAGGTAAAGAAAATAGAGATAAGTACTTCTCTTAACAATATACAGTGTAATTAAAACTGTTACCTCTAAGTATACATCTAAGGAAACAGCAAGGCACTTCAAACTGTCCATGTTTTCATTGCCTTCAATGTTCCTATGTCCAGGAACCCAGATAAGAGTGATGTCATCTAACCGGTTCAGCTCATTAATTGGGACTCTACATTCTTTAACTAGCGTTGATTTTATGATCAAGGATAGAAGCGCTTTACTTGCCACTTGTCTGTCAAGTTGTTATTAGAAATGCCAACACTACATCCGTTCTTAATATAATTAGTCATATAAACTTTAACCTGAATTGCTGGAGGCCCCTATAGTTAGGTAGCCTAAAGTGGCTTCTATCCCGTCGACCATATTGACTATCCGTGAAAATTGGCGAACTGTAGTTAGTTTGGAAGTTTTTCTTTTCACTGCGTTTCTTAATGGAAGTGATGACTGAAAATTCCTTTCATAGCATAACAATGGAGTCAAATATTATTTTAGAGAGTTCTCATTATTTTTCTATTTAATATTGACCAAATATGATTAAAATTACAAAATACGAAAATAAGACCATGTTTTTGGTTTTAAACAGATTGAATGGGAATGCATTTAATAATATTTTGACTTGTGTTAAAGTTACTCTTAGAACTAATTTTAAATAAGTCTTTAGAAATTTAAAATAACTCTTCTTTACTCGCTTTTGACATGAACGAACAAAGTGGAAAATAACGAAGATACTACAATCCTGCTTAAATTTATGGATAAAAATCTACTTATTGAATTCATTTTGAGGAGATGAAACGTACGCGATTGGAAAGACAATAAATATACCCCATATACCTTCACCTTTAAGCATCATTGCACACACTCCATATTCCATATTCTGACACTCCAGTATTCCTACTCCCAGGTTAACTAACTAATACAATCAAATATTGAAATTAGAAATGCATTTAAATTTTAAATAAACATCGGAAGATGGAGACGCTGGCACAACTTCAAGACAAATCCACCATAATCGACGCGTCTTACTTTTGCAATTTCCATACAGACTACAAAGGCGACAACTACTACTAACTGTTCTGGTATTCCCACTACCGCAGATGGTATTGGTATTGGTGTTGTGGCCACCATTGTTAGAGGTAGTGTTGTTGTTGTTGTTGTACCCGTAATTGTATTTGTAAATTGCAAAAGTGCAGAGATGGCATTCACCTCTGCGCTCTATTAGTCCCGTGCGTTTTGCCATAACAAAATCAAGTCATTTGCCATTTAGCATCTCTTCTCACTGCGCGAATGTTTTTTCTAGTCCTTTTTTGCACTTGTTATCATTATTGACTATGTTGTTGCTGTTGTTGTTTTTTAATGAAATGTTATTTAACAAATACAAAAAAAGGATGTGCAAATGAAAAAAAAAATGAAATGAATGGAATACTTTTCACTTGGCTTAATGACAGCCGGCGAAGTCGTAGACGCAATGATGGCGGCAACTTCCGGTTTTGTTTTGGTGTTTTTAATATGCCGAAGCATCACAGAGAATAGATGAAGCACTAAGCGGGATACAGGGGTACATGTCGTTACGATGCATATCAGTTTTGTAGATGATGATGACGATGACGATGGCGATGGCATTGATGTTGGCTTTACTCATTTCTTCTGTGATTGTCTCCTGTGATACTAAGGCGCTCATCCGCGACACAGCAAATTTTATGTATGAAAGGTGGGTTCGTATCCTTTTAGGTGTGTGAATCAATGTGAGTGCGAAAGTGTTACAGTTTTGTTGGATTTTGTATATTTTAAGACTTTTACACTTTCGCAAACGCACAAATAAGTGGATTCATGCCGAGGCTGCTGTGTTGGCACTTTTTATGTTAGTTCTGCAAATAGGGCAACGCAGGAGTTGATAGTCCTTGCTCAAGTACTTCTGCTGCTGATTCCACTACTGCTGCTGTTGCTGTTGGTGTTAGTAGTGGTTTCAGTGGCAATGGCGGTAACGTTAGCAGTAGCCATAGCGTTGTTGGAAATGGTGGTAGCGGCAGTGGTGGTGGTGGTGAATACTAAAAACCGGCTTAATGGAACGCAGATCAAATGAAAATTTCATTGTTTGCCTCTTGAGTTTTCTCGAAAGGGTTGCAAATTTAGAATTTACAATTCAGGTAGTACGAGACTTTTATATGACTCAGGACTTCCGTTTGTGCTGCTTGCCTTCTGATATCAAATAGAATTTCGTACAGCAACTTTAAGTTGTCATCTTTGTTGTTATTATTCTCTTGTTGGTTTTGCTGATAGTGCTTTCATATTTAAGGTGGATCCTTTAGATTCTGTCTACTATTTTTGTTGTTGTTGTTACTGTTTATATGCCTGTTGTGGTTATTTTGTAGCTGCTTCTACGTGCCAACGTGTAAAACAATGACTCATTAAGGCTCATCTAAATTCTAATGAGATTCAGTAACCATTAAAAAGGATTTCATTTTAGTTTTGCTGATTTTGTACTTAAGGCTGTTATCCTTGTGTCGTTTATTTTGTTCTTGTTTTGTTTTTTTTAGATTAAAGTAACTCATATATTGTCTTAACTTTCACCTTTTACAAGCGAAGAGTATTAAAGTGAATTAAAGGTGACAGTATTTATAGAATATAATTCAAAACACACTTTAAATTTTTGAAGGATACATATAAGGACTTTCTCATTAAATCAGTAAAAACATGAATACATCATTTTCTTATAAAAATATTATACGCTATTCGATGTATTTAGGTTTGCTTTGATATTTCACATTATTATACTATGTGTTGATATATCATATTATCTAGCATAACATCTAGTATAATAAGATGAAAATACTATATCTGTTATATATTCGCAAATGGCTTGCAAATGGTTTACTTAACTTAGTAAAATTAGAAGTTCAGATATACCGATTAACCACAGGAAGTTACATATGACCTACTTGTCTTCCATTAATTATTGTCAACTTGAATAAATTTTGAGGTTCTTAGTTCTCTTAACAAAATGTTTGGGAATATAAACCAGTACCGGTTTCTATGTCCGGGAACCAAGATGAAAATCAAGTCAACTAGATGATTTAGTTCGTCAATTGTTGTTCTACATACTTTAACTAGTTTTGGTTTTATGATAATGAATTGAAAGGCTTTAATGGCTACAAATGGCAACATTAATATGTCATTGTTATGACTTGCAATTAGCTAACATGCTTTACTCATTATCAGTTTAGTCTTCGTTAGGTAGCCTAAAAGAATGGTTTATGTCAACAAGTTCGACGAAAAGTTGTACTCCTACATTGCAGCCAATTTAGGTTTGCTTCAAACTTTCGTCCTTTCAAAGGTTAGAAAGTTTCTTTGGAAGCATAAGTTTTTCGTCAGGAGATCCGATGTTATCCATCAGATGACGTTTCCAAAGAAATAATGTGGAACTTTGCAGTTGCAATTTGAAGATCCCGTTCATCAATATTGTACCAAATAAACTTTTAGTGTATTGAGTTATATTCTAACAATTACCCTACTTCAAGCACCCTTTATTATTCCGCATTCACTTCCATACTCTTCGCTCAGCTTAGATAAATTTGACTTTTCAATTGACTTTCCAAGACCAATAAAGTGTTCTTTCGAAACTGAATTGTTCTTTCAATGGAGGCCTGAATTCGGTTTGAATTTGATACACATAGATTACTAAATAATTACGTCAATAATTTCTTTCATCTTTGATTATGGATTGAGGTTTTTTACACCCGAGCTATAGAAGCCAATAACTGAAATGTTTGATATTTTATTACTAAAAGCTGGGTTTACTGAGATAAAATCTTACCCAAGGCATTTGATGCCTTCAATCTACTGGAAAAAAAAACTACTTCTGTGTAAGTATTTCTGCTCTTCATGTTGCCTTTTGGAAAGATAAAGTTGACAGTACAGAAAGTTAAAGAAAAGTAAAGAAAGTGAGTGTGTAGCATCGAAACATTTACCATATATTTGGAAAGACAATAGGGCACCACTGTTTTTTAATTTGATAGTGCTAAATGTAAAACTGTTTGTTTTATCCTAAAACGCTTTTTAGTACTGATTAAATAGTGAATGCAGTTATTAGTTTTTATAATTTTCCATTTTGTGACGTATTTGTTTTTTCCGTCCTGTGACTAGTCCTGCATAATGACTAGTCTGCATTATATCCAGATAATATCCAGAGATAATGGAGCCTTCAATATATATAAATATATATATTAAAACCAAATACATAGAATTAAGTAAACATATTCTCATAAAGTTTCTAATTACTAAGGTTTCCAAATAACATTATCCGTACCCAAGTTAAGAATATTCTATCGGTTGGCGTCACATCTAAACACTTCTAACATTTTCTCGATGAACTGCATAACAGCATTTACATACGAAATATGAAAAAAAAAGGAAATTTATATACTGTCAAAGGAACTTTCCCTTCTTTAGGTTTTATTGAGGGCTACTATATAAATGTAAGAAATGTACATAAATAAAAATAAATAAAAAATAACTAACATAACTCATACTCAAACTCATACATATAAAAACTATAAAAATATTAAAAGGATTGTGGAGATAGTGGAGATAGACTAACTGAAAGGCATTGAAGTTAGTGTAGAGAGTACTTAACCGAGCCTTTGCTGGTGCTGTTTACTCTGACAACGATAAAGAAAAGGAAAAACTCTAACTGTCAAACTACCACTGCAGGACATTCAAGCGTAGCAAAAGGACGTACGCAAAGGAAGTTCAGTTCAGCATGAAAGTTTTTATGCACATGTGGAACAGTTTTAGGAAGACTCGTGTCAAATTGTGGTCGAGGCAGAAGTGTTGCTGCATACGTGCGTAACTTTTATTGATACACGTTAAAAGGAAAAAGGATAAAGCAAATATAGGGAAAAAACTACAACACATGGTGAAGGTGAAGGAGGAGGAGGTGCGAAGGAACACGCATACTTCTTTGACATATAAACTATCAGTTATGAACCCTTTTTACCGCTTGCTGTACTGGAAGTTAATGGAAAAGTAACAGCAGCAGTTCCGACATTTGACATTTCGCTTTCTCGTCTAATATTTCAACTCGTTTTTATACTTCATTACACAATTTCCTAATACGGAAAATTTATAAATATTTTAATAAAAAAAATCTATATCAAATGCGTATTAAATTAATGAAATTTGAGTTATGAAATAGTTCAAATACTTTAAAAAGGCCGTATACGGAACTGACGTCATAACTGATACTCGTAAGACCTGTTATGATAGTCAGTTGAAGGTCCAGTGACTCATAATTTCAATTCTAATTTTGGGCATCTATATTGATGGACAATTGTGGATGTCTCATTTTTAATTTATAGATTTTAATAATTTAATAATTAATGACTATTAGGCTATCGTATTTCTAGTACTATTTATAATGACCGGTACACTCGTCTTGATTCGAAAAGTCAAGCCCATCCGTAGGATTGATAAATAGCTTTTAAGTAGTTTTTTTTGGGGTTCTTCCGTCTTGCATCCAGAGGCGGTGATTCAATCACACTAATCGAAACGACAAACACTGAGCACTTATGCTTAGCACTTATGCTTAGTGTTCTGATGCTGATATTGAGAAAGTCGCTATATATACATTGAAAAAGTTGCTATTAAGCTGGAGCTCGCTGCATAAAAATGGGAAATATTGCTGGTAATCAAACGGAATATTCCGGAAGAGGTTTTTGTTACGAAAAGTGACTTATACATAAGACCACAACTTTACGCAAAGTACCAAGTGGTATTTATAGAAAGTAAATAACCATTTTAGTAGAATTTGAAAAGAGTTAGTAAAAAGCAATACTTATAAAGGTGCATAATGCATGATTGGACAGACAACATGCTTTATAATAGAATATTATATGCAAATATAAGAACATACAGATAACAACTTTTACATATATTTAAAAAGATATTGCACCTGTTTTGGAGATAGTTGAGAGCTATGAGTTACTTCTATCTTTAATTCTTTAGTTGTTCATAAGTGGGTTTAGATTTATACGAGAATTGCTTTGTCTTGCGGTAACATATGAAATTTGGCAAAATATATTGATTCTTTAAAGCTTCTTAAGCTTTTAAGTTAATTAGTCGTTCTAATC